CCCCCCCCCCCCCCCCCCCCCTCTCTGGGACGACACCCCCTTTCTCTCTCCAATGTCAAACAAGAAAATGTTGATCCAGATGTGCTAGAAGGTACAAGTTATGTGTCTCTAGTGAAAGAAGCGATGACTTACTAGGCTACATGTCAACTTCACATCCATTTCATCCTTCTCCTTCATCAACTACATCATTTGTCCAAGTAAACGTCCAAGCATTGGAATCGACTTTGAGAATCATTTCTAGATTCCAAAAATTTTCTGGAACGCGCGTTGCTTGTTTCTTATCTTCTAATTTTGTTTCCCTTTGTTTCCATTCAAAAGGATGAGATCCAAGCTTATGTGTTGCCTCTTGTGTATCGCACTGTTTGACTAATTGGTGGTAGTGATGATTTTGATAGACCAATGACAAAGGGAAAAGGAAGATGAAGAGAGCAAGAGAGAGAGAGGGAGGGAGAGCAAGAAATAGAGGTTAAATGAGCTTTATATAGGTACAGAGCGATATAGAGAGAACTGAAGAAGAATGCTGTTTTCTTAAGTACACCAACATAAAACTCATCTTGGCATAAGAAGACCATATTTAGACGCTTATAGAAAGAGCAACGAGAGGAAAACCAAATCCATAATATACCTACTTCAGCCCAAGCTTCAAATTCAAGTTCAACATCCAAATACCACCGTTCACAAAAATCTACAAATAGTTGGAAGTCGTGACTTGCTTGCATGCTTTAACAACAATGTTGTTTTCTCTTTCCAAAAATCTCTCCAAACATGCATGTGAGTCGTAATATGTGAATCCACACACACTACTTCCATCCAAAAAATCAGAAGAGCTCCACTGTGAAAATGACTGCTACTGCACTAATTGTTCACGCACAGTCACTAGGACCATGCCCTGTCAACTAGTAGCCAAAATTTTGTGTGTACTAATGTGTAGAAAAAGAGTTGGACCATGCTCCATCAGCTTATCTTTCTAGACATTGGCTTTATCTTCTTATTAGTACAATGGGATAGCAAGCCTGCATTTTCAACAAGTGATGTTCAAACTACCAGTCAATTTGCTCTAAAATCTTTTTACTAGTAGTCTGCTCCCGTAGAAGACAAAATTTGGAGCATTAGGATTGTTGTTTATCTGATTTTCCTGCACCACTAAAATGTTAGAACAGATACCAATTATACAATAGTGGAAAATAAAACTAAATTCAATGTGCCAATTTTAGGGGTGACACCATAAATGAATCCCTTCTTCCCTATGATTTAGATGGTGATGACGACAACAATGATGATAATAAAAGAATGACATCTTTCCAAAGAAAATGAGAAGATTGACCTGAAATTCTGACAGTTTTCAATCGCTTTTTTTCTTCTAAAATTCGAGCTTGCTTGTCTTGGTACACTTTCCAGCGTCTATCATCTATCAAGCCAATTTCATATCCCAGAGGTGTGAGACGGCTGTCAGCATTGTCAGATCGAAGAAGCAAACGATGTTCTGAACGACTGAGAGAACAAAAATTTTACAAGATGGGGTTATTGTTACAGAAAAACACAACAAGTCACAAACAAGTTATCTCTGATCATCAACTCAAAGAAGAAAAGACTGATTATTTAAAATATATCTGCTATCAAGCTAGCTAGCACAATGAGTAGTTCTCCTATTCGATGTAGAAAGCTTTACACACTATAAGTTACTTAAATTTCTGTTAAAAAATATGAAGAATAAGATAGAATTAGTGCATGGTCAGGCTTGCATAGCATATGCAATATAATGTAAGCTACCAAAAGTCAGCTTTACCTTGCACAGGACAATATAGGACATTTTCAACTGGTTTACCAGAGAAACTGCTGATGCAGAATCTTCACATTCATTGTATGTTTAAAAGAATCAGAAGTGCAATGAATTGATCGACCTGGATGGAAAGAAATGCCAGGTCGCCAGGCTAACTCCCTCCCCACCCAACAAAACGAAAAAGGAAATGAGAAAAAGGGGTTGAATGGAGATCAGACTTCACCCCCACCTGATATGAAAGGAAGACTGGATATGGTGTTTAAGGTGCCCATCACTATGAATTCCGAGCTCATTCAATAGAATTTGAAGCCACATAAGCTCACAAACTCCATGGTTCATAACTCTATATTCAGCCTCTTCACTAAATCTAGCTATCACTGCTTGTTGTTTATTTCTCCATGTGATAGTACTTCCTCCTATCAAGGTGCAATAGCCTGAAGTGGATCTTCTATCAGCTACTTAACTTGTTGAGTCTGTATCAATGAATGTTTCTAGTTTCAAGTAACCATTATTAAAGAACAAGATCCTTTTTCCTGGGGGTTGACTTGAAATACATCAAAATACGATGCACAATTCCAAGATGAGAGACTCGAGGATCATGCATGAATGGACTTACAACCCCCACTCCATAAGTAATATCTAGTTGAGTATGAGAGAGAGATATCAATCTCTCCACCAATCTCAAGTATCTCTCCTTATCCATAACATCACCAGCACCACTCACCAGTCGATGTTTAACTTCAATAGGAGAATCTGTAGATATACATCCCAACATACCAGTTTCTTCAAGTAGGTCAAGAACATATTTTATTTGGGAGATAAAAATGTCTTTGTATAAACTGGCAACCTCAATTCCATGAAAATATCTCAATGAACCCAAGTGTTTGATTTCAGACTCCTTAAACAACTGAGATTTCAGTTTGATAATTTCATGCACATCATTCACAGTATCATTATGTCATCTACATATACAATGGAAATTGTTATTTTGTCACCTACTTGTCTAATGAACATAGTATGATCAGCATGACTCTACTTATATCCAAATTTCAACATCGGCTTGAGGAATCTATAAAACCAGGTTGTAAGTGATTGATTCAACCCATAAAGTGACTTCTTCAACTTACACACTTTTCCTTCAGTTACTTGAGATGAAAAACTAAGTGGAATTTCCATATATACCACCTCCTCCAAATCTCCATGGAGAAATACATTCTTCACATCCAACTGTTGCAGACTCCATCTCAAATTAGGTGTATGGGAGAGAAGAGCATGTATGGAGTTCATCTTTGCCACTAGGCAAAAGTCTCCTGATAATCAATGTCATACGTCCAACTGAATCCCTTGGCAACTAGTCTTGTCTTGTATCTCTCAACTGACCATCAACTTGTTGTTTGACAGTAAATTCCCATGTGTCATTCTTCTTTAGGGCTCTCATTTTCTCAACCATAGNTTGAATCCCTTGGCAACTAGTCTTGTCTTGTATCTCTCAACTGACCATCAACTTGTTGTGTGACAGTAAATTCCCATGTGTCATTCTTCTTTAGGGCTCTCATTTTCTCAACCATAGCTTCTTGCCACTTTGGATCAGTGAGAGCTTCCTTCTAATCCTGAGGAATTAGCAAGCTCAGAATTATCAATAATCTGGATGACAACTGGAAATGCATTACATGGTAAATCAGTAGGAAATGCTAGAATAGGAGCGAGAATTCAACTGACCAAGCGAGACATGGGTGGTCTGTACTTTCGAATGCCGAGAATACATCTTCGGAGTACCAAATGGATCATTGGTACTAACAATTTGTTGCTCTCCCCGAATTAGTGACCCAATGGAAAGACGATTGAATAAGGAACTCTTGACATTCCATCTCTTTTTCAATAATATTGTTCTCCCCCTGAAGAGATGACTGGGGAGGAAAGAAATAGGACTCAAACTCACGAAAGGTAACATCCATGCTAACATAAATCTTCTAAGACGGTGGATGGTAGCACTCATACCCTTTTTGAGTGGTAGAATAACCAACAAAGACACCTCAGAGCCTTATGATCAAGCTTCTCCTGGATGCTTTTTAGTCATGTACAAAACACACCCCAAAAACTTTAGGGGGCAATGAAGAAACAGAAGGAATCAATAAAATTCTAAAAAGACACTCAATAGCAGACTTAAACTATAGGACACTGGAAGATAGATGATTAATAAGGTAAGTAGCGGTAATAACTGCGTCTCCCCAAAAATGAGGAGGAACATGCATAGTAAACATTAGCGAACGTGCAACCTCAAGAAGACGACGGTTTTTTCGCTCAGCAACACTATTTTGTTCTAGGGTACCCACACAAGTAGTTTGATAAAGGGCGTCACTCTCATTAAGGTAAGAACAAAACTCCCCATCAATAGACGCGGTGTCATTGTCACTGCGAAGGACTTTGATTTTAGAATCAAACTGGGTACTTTAACCATTTTATGAAAAGAGCGGAAGCAAGAGAAAACTTCACTTTTGGTTTATAGGAAGTAAACTCAAGAAAGACGAGAATAATAATCAATAAAAGTGACAAAGAGGAGGTCCTACGGAAAAATAGCTAAACGCCAGGATGCAACTATAACCTAATATAGAGGCAATATGGGAAGGTCCCCATACATCAGAATTAATAATAAAAAGAATAGTATTTTTATTATTAATACTAGAATAAGAAGAACGTTTGTGCTTGAGAAATTCACAAGCATCACAAACAAAAAATTGTCTATTACAGTACTTTACTAGACTAGAAAAAATATGTTCTAAAACACTAAATGAGGAATGTCTCAAACGTCTGTGCAACTAATGTAAGATTTGAAGGTTGGAACACCATATGCTTAGAAAGCTTAACAAGTGGACTAAGGAAAAGCTTCTACATCCGGGAGATATAAACCACCATGTGTTCTACCACTGTCAATTGTTTTCTCTGATTCCAATTCCAGACAAGTGCAATAAGTAGAAAAAAATGTCAATGAACAATTCAAGAATTTAGTAATACTATTATTAAACAATAAGTTAGTGCAAAAATTGAGAACATGGAGAATAGATGAGAGAGACAAAGTGGGTGAGCAATTAATTGAACCTTTTCCAAAAATTGAGGATAAAGATCCATTTGTCACCTTGACTTTATCCCCACGTGAAAATATAATGTATAAAGAGAAAAGACTAGAGGAACCTACCATCTGGTCTGTGGCTCTAGAATCTATTATCCAAGGAACATATGAGGATGATGTCAATAATTACACTAGATACACCTATATAAGCAATGTTGGAAGAAGAAGTGTGGCGAAGAGATGTGGTAGAAGAAACATCAAACCGNATTATCCAAGGAACATATGAGGATGATGTCAATAATTACACTAGATACACCTATATAGCAATGTTGGAAGAAGAAGTGTGGCGAAGAGATGTGGTAGAAGAAACATCAAACCGAGCCATCAGACGCCTAACGATCTACATCACATCTTGAGAGAAATTAGAGGGAGTAGACTGAAATGGAGGCTCTGAAATTTCAGTCATGTGTGCATGGGATCGCACATTACTCCCTCGGCCACGTGTAGAATGTCGAGCCTACTTCCAACAAACTCTTTAAATATGTCGGGTCTTCCCATAGTAGTCACACTTTAAGATATCCTTAACAGCAGTGTCGCTCGTCTCAGCAAGTTTGAGCAAGACTAAACGCATGTCATACTAAGGGATAGCAGCCAATGCAGATAGTTCATGAGTAGGAGCATGAAAAATTGCAATCCTTCGACTAATAGAGTTTGCATGGAATTAAACAACCAAGACATAATTAGGGCATTTTCAGATGTCCACTATGTCAAGGTAGGACCAGACTTACTAGGGTTCTTAGTCTCCCCAATCAAATAACCATCTAAAAAGATTGCTTGAATGGACAACAAACAAGCCCGAGACCTTGCTAAATAATTGCTACCATCTAATTTTTCTGGGCTAATTTGGAGAGAATGGTTATTTGCTAGAGCACCCAAATGGCTCACCCCACTCCTTCCGATACTTACCCTAACATTAGTAAACGCCTCACTACCTTTAGACATGTCTACACAATAGGAGGAAAAAAAAAACGAAATTGGGACCCAAAGTTGCACAAACAGTGACCAAAACTGTAACAGTAGAGCCTCAACACAGGAAACAGTAACAGCAACACCTCAATAGGAGCCAACCAATTGCAGTAGCACCTTAACAGGAGCCAACCAATAGCAATAGAGTCTCATGCATGAACCAGAGGGTCTAGAACAGTAGCCTGAACGGTACCTGAAGCTAAAAAATGGCCAAAAAATCTCTCAAATTTGATCTAATCCCAACAACTTCTTATGGGTATTCAAGATCTATCCTTTTCGCACCCCACCCAGCAGAAAATAGAGTAGATGCAAAAAAGAAGTCCCAGCAGTGGAAAAAGTGCAAGAACATGGAAGCTGACACTTAGTTTTTGCCTAAAAACTTCGGAAATTCCATCCAAATGCAACAAAACTAGATGGGTAGTCCAGATTACTCCCAGTCGAGCCTCACCAAGAAGGATCGATCAAAAAACAAGCAACTGGTTGCACAGAAATTGGAGATCTCATCCATAAAACCAAAAAAATCCTCAAAATTTTAAAAAACCAGTCAAATGGCTTCAAAAAATTTCGCAAAAATATTCAATATTCCTAGAAGCTTCAGTCGAATCTGTCTATAATTTTTACGAAATTTTCTGACACGTTCGATGCTGACTTCAGCCCGTCAGATGCTAACGTCAGCCTGTCAGAACCTGGCAGAAAACACTGTTGACTACGCAATGGATTTCCATCGAATTTCGACTATAGATATCGCAGCGCCGATACCAAGTTCGATTATGAAGTTGCTAAGGTGTGTAGCCAGAGAGAGGAAGAGAAGATTATGTGAAGAGAATACTGTGTTAAGGTTACACAGTTACATCCCAATATATATATATATATATATAAGTATGAAACGCCAAAAATACCCTTATGGGTTACATCCTAATGTAACATAACACAAATATCTTGCTCCAATTCACCTTGTTAACATGCGGTAAGGCTCTCGGAGATCTTTGGTCACCAGATCATCAATCAAGGTCCCTATATAACTGCTTTCCCTCTCAAGAACAATGAGGGACTTTCCATCTGAATGCCTAGCAGCATTAATTCCAGAAATAATTCCCTAAAGAAAAGAAAAAAACAGATCAAATTAGAGAAAGGCTTTTTAGATACACAATTAGTCAAAAAAGACCAGATGTGGAAACCAGAAACCATGGCATATATTTTCTTTATGTGCATAATAACATCAATAACAAGACATTGCAGAATGAAGGTCATTATTAAAAGACAAATACCTGTGCAGCAGCTTCTTCATAGCCTGTTGTACCATTTATCTGACCAGAGAAGAAAAGTCCTTCGATTTTCTTCGTCATAAGAGACCTAGAGCACTGATGAGCAGGTAGGAAATCATACTCTACAGCATATGCTGGCCTCAGCATTGAACAGTTTTCAAGTCCAGGTAATGTCCTCAGTAGTGGCAACTGCAGCCTCTCTGGTAAGCCAGTTGAGAAGCCCTGTAACCAAAGCAGGGTACAATCATTTGATATAGAATGCTCAGAAGCATTAGAAACTCATAAATTCAATGCAGGAAAAGGTATACTAGTACTTCACTTGTATTTCAAGGTGATACAAAATTTACAACAAACAGGATCCCCCAAAAAATGAAGAAAAGCGTTAAACATGAGAAGGCAGCCAAAACAACAAAATCAATCTCCATAAATTGAGATCAGAATATTCAAAAGTGGACCAATCAATCTCCTTGAAAGGCATTCAGATTTCAGCAGCTAAGAACATATAGTATTATAATGGTAGTAGCAGCTTTTCCAGTTTAGACAATTGACAAGTAGAAGATCGCATAGGCATGAGCTATTGTTCTGCAAGATTGTAGATTCAAACAACTATCTACAGTTTCATATATTATTTCTTTGGGAGAATTATATCCAGACCTCCTGAAGTTTGTCACTTAATCACTCAGACCCCCTGATATTCGAAATATTACATAAAGACCCCCTAAGATTTGTATGCACGTAACACTTAGAATCCTATTGTAAATATATCCGTTAATTATTTTCACTTAGACNAAAAGACCCCCTAAGGTTTGTACGCACGTAACACTTAGAATCCTATTGTAAATATATCCGTTAATTATTTTCACTTAGACCTCCTAAAGTTTGTAAGTATATAATACTTAGACCCCTTAAATTTAAAATATTATACTTAAAACAAAAATACTCCAATCAAATATAGAATATCAAATATTTTAAATTTTACAATCAAAATTCATATTCTATTGTGTCATTTATTGAAATAAAATCAAAAATAAAAGTCTAATTTTTTTAAAAAAATCATAGTTAGTATATAATTATACTATCTATTAGAATAAAACTAAAAAATTAAACAAGTGGTCAAACTGTAATTGACATAATATCTTTTAACTTTAATTGGGGTTGTTTGGTATGTTAATTTGATCGTTTAAGCTACCAAATTAAATTCCAATAAATAATATAATTGTATACTAATTACAATTTTTTTTAAATTCTAATAGATAATAAAATTGTATACTAATTACAATTTTTATTTTTGATTTTATTTCAATAAATGATACAACAGAACATAAATTTTGATTGTAAAATTTAAAATATTTGATATTTTATCTTTGATTGCAGTATATTTTGTCTAAGCATAATATTTTAAACTTAAGAGGTCTAAGTATTATATACCTACAAACTTCATGAGAGTCTAAGTATAATTTATTAACTGATATATTTATAGCACGACCTAAGTTTTACGCGCGTACAAATCTCAAGGGGTCTCTGTGTAATATTTCAAATGTCAGGGGATCTGAGTGATTAAGTGACAAATTTCAGGGGGTTTAGGTGTAATTCTCCCTATTTCTTTCCATCCAAATGTTTTGAGACTTTAACAACTTGATCAATTTACAGCCAAAACTTTAATATATTGACAAAATGTTTACTTCTGATTTTTTTAAAAGAAGCAATTAATAACAAAATTGATTTCTGGTAGAACATCTAACGTAAAACCATGAGATAGCTCTCTTCACACCCTCACACACGTGGGTTAACAAACACACCAAGGAATTTCAAGGGTGAGGGACAAAGTCCACCAACTACCTTAGACCTAGCTCTGATAACATCTAACTCAAAACCAATTAACAATAGGAGAAGTGGCCCCTTGAGTATATAAACCAACCTTGAGTCTACTTAATTTTTCGATGTGGGATAGCTCTCTTCGCAATTTCAAAGCAACAGTTTGCTCAATGTATACTCATTGAATTCATTATATACTAAATTAATCTGAAAACAACTTAAAATTTATACGTCTGTCCAATATTTGGAGTTTTCAAAATCTAGAAAAGAAAGAAAACTAGGACAAGTGATTCAATGGGTAGGCATCATTCCCACTCCTAGAATACTCCAAAACAATCATAGACTGTTAATGAATATTTTTTCTTCCTAGTCCACTAAAGGAAACTGGGAACACAATCCTGTCAAAAAGATGCATACTGGAATGAATCATGCCAGCTATTTATATGATGCCTCAGCATATTTGTTAGCTACTATAATGATTTTTTTAAATGGAAACAGATGCTTTAATGATCTTTAAACAAAATTAAAAATCAAAACCAGTTTCATACAATCCGAGATTTGTGCCTCAAAGGAAGACCTAAGAGTTCCAAATCCTATTAAGATTCTCACTTCAAAGTGTAAAATTTGCCATATTTCAAAGCAGTGAGCCTCAATGGTCAACCACTATGGACGTTTCTCGTCATATATTTCGAGCAAAGAAAAGAATCAGAATTTGGCCTTTCTCCATACATGTGTTGTTTATTAAGAAAATATCTTAATTCACCATTTCGCCTTCATAAATTGCAAGACTACTGTAAACATTTGCCAAAATTTCCATAAATGGTCCTTTGATCTTCCACAAAGTTGATCAAGCTCCATCATCCTAAATTCTGAAGCTAAATGGGAGAGGGAATCAGATTCGGTGCAAACTATGCGTACCAAACCTTCCTCGCAAGGGGGAGGTGAAAAGAGGAGTAAAATTAACATAATCTAGGCGAGCATCCGATTAGATTGTCAAATAACATTAAAAGAGAAGTTGCTGACATCTTATTGGGTTATATGCTCAATTCATGGACCAGTACAACAAAAAATTTGTTTAAAAAAAAGAAAATTAAAATAATTCTATCTGGAAATTACAACTCAAAAGCATTTGATTCACATATCAGAATTCCTTGTCAAGTGTGATCAGACTCGAGTCATAAAATGTTAGTTAGCTAGACTATAGCAAAGCTGTCGGACCAACATTTCTATACCAAAAAGCAAAGGCTGCTGTTTCATTTACTGAGAATGCATATCTCAATCTGCTAATTCTTTCTTCTAGTGAGTTAAGACAAATAAGGTTCGGAAGCATACAAAATAGCAAGACAAATAGCATGCATCTTCGAGATCTATTTAGAGGATCAAGTGAACATATTTTAGCTTAAAAGATTTAAAAACATAATGTTTAGGATATGATGGTGTTGCAGTCACACTTGTGGAAATCATATACATGGCTTCATAAAGAATAGGGCTTCAGTAACTAAATAAAAAAGTATTTGGGATCTGGTTTCTTATGCAAAATCCCCTCTTTGTGGCCATGCTTGGCAAATCAACAACTCAATCTTGGAGACTATTCGTCTCCAAGTATTTAGGCATCACCTGTGCTGATTGAAGGAAACTTGAAAGAATAAAACTGTGGGATGCCTTTCTTCTTGTCATTCCGATTTTTTTCCTTATATTTTTATTTTTGGTCTTGGGTAACTAAATTTATGGCGTTTATGTCACATCATTCTTTTGACCAAAGTTTACCAATAAATCTAAATTAAAAAAAATATATATGCTTCTTTTCTTTTTCAAATAGTTACAACAGCGAGTCATCAAAGAGAAGTAACGATCTAAATTTTAGACAAAAAAGCTGTAATTTATAAAAGACATTGTTTCATGCAACTACTTGAAGACAACATAAACAAGCAGCAAAGAATTGTTTGTGAAAATACAAAACTATTTACGAAGTTAAAACAAAATGGTGTCTAAATTCTTTAGAAATGTATTCTCTGTTAGGCCTATGGGTGTAGGTCATATTTTAGCTGGGAATAGCACATAGACAAAAAAATTATGTGGAGCAATTGCAAGCCTCAATGAGCATCAAAGGATTAAATAAGCCTCAAGTGAAAGAAGTTCGATCGAGTCAAGAAAATGGAAACTTCGACATCCGGATGTATCCGAGCTTAACGATAGTAGTACCTAGGTAGGTTAGGGCACATTTGTAGTGTACAAAGGTATTGGCTAGCCTGATCCATTGAGTTTTGCAGTTTCTTGCAATTTCTAATATAAAACACATCCAACTGGCTATGGACATAATCGGTTGGATCTGCCCCGTTTTCAATAAAATAGTCGTAAGTTAGCCATTGGCATCCCATCTATGTATACCCTAAAAACCTCTTCACGTGTTTCTTGATAGAATTTGGTATCCATTCACCTTATACACTTACAAGACTATCCTTGAGAGAGAATGAGGTCAAACTATCCATTCTACCCTTCCATCATGAGGAGCCTGGCCACTATACTTTAAGAACATCTTCTTAGGCTTGGGCAGCATTGTAAAAGTTGCGCTTAGGCTCAAGGCAACTCCAGGTGCGCCCTTTTGACTAATGCAATTCATCCCATCCCTTCGAAGGATATTGACAAAAGCAATGAGTGGTTGTTGGGGGGATGGATGTAGAATCAGATGAAAATGATGAGCATGTATTTGATGTTTCTTTTGTTAAAGCATCTAACTCAAGACCAATTGACAATATGTAAAGATATACAAATCCAATAATGCCGGTAAAGATGTTTTGCTTGGTGATGAGGGCAATTTTTAGGACCATAGGATATGTAGAAGATTCAGGCCTTTCAAGCCTTTCTTACATACCGGTTCAGGCCTTTTAAGCCACTTTTTGCATCGGTTCAGGCCTTTCAAGCCATTTTCTACAGTGATTTAGCCAATTTCGAGCAATCCCAGCAGGTAAGGTACTACATTTTGTTTTGAAACAGTTGAAACGACCTAAACGTTTCCGTTTTCATGGAAATCGAAATGAATCAATTGATTGAATATCAAAATTTCTATGTTTCGAGGTGTTTTGGTAGGTTTCGAGATGTTTCGGTATTTTTTGAACTATGTTTCAGTATGNGACGACCTAAACGTTTCCGTTTTCATGGAAATCGAAATGAATCAATTGATTGAATATCAAAATTTCTATGTTTCAAGGTGTTTTGGTAGGTTTCGAGATGTTTCGGTATTTTTTGAACTATGTTTCAGTATGTTTCGACCAATATTGTGGAAATAAACTTTTAATTTTTTTTTTGTTTCCATCTTGTTTCAAAATGTTTCCAAAACATTACCGAAACATTTAACGCCTACGAAGTACAGATATGGATACAAATACGAGTATGATATGATAAGAATACGACGGTACGATAAAACCTCAAAAAATAGGATACGGGTATGACCGGAATACGTCTATAAATATATATTTTTATTATTATGTAATGACTTAATAGTTATAATTTTTAATGATTTTTTAACATTAATAAGCAATATTAATAATTTTTTAAAAAGTTATCTATCGTCTCACTTAATTAAAGGAATAAAAATCAACATTTAATTATATTTTTTACTTAAAAGTATTTGTTGTTAAGATTATAGAGTAATTAACTCATTTAAATTGTTTGGACATGTGATAATCAATAATACTTGGAAGACAGCCATGTGTCTTCCAAATAATATGAATTTTTATTGATGTATTGCATTGTATGTGAAATCAAAAGGAAATTATAAAGATTAAAACTAAAAATTACATATACATCTTTGCATATAGAAGTATCTGCAAAGGATCCATCTATTTTATTTATTATTGGATATGTTTGATGTGTATTCGAAATGTATCCTCGAGTATTCGACTAATATCGTATCCGATACAAATACGGAGACCTTAACGAAGTATGTGTGCTTCATAAGTTTCTGTTTTCAAGCTCACAAAAACTATGCACCGAAACAAAATTTTAATCCTTGATCCCAGCCCTCTTGAGCACTGAGTTAGCCCTCCACTACATCCGGTTTTGCCTACTTTCTTCTCCTTCCATTAGATATGTTGATTTTTGGCACTTTCATCTCTAGGTAGCCATCATCCATACCAGGTTTTCATACTTGACTCTTCTTTTGTGGGAATCACTTCTAAAGCTAATTCTTTGACAGCACTTTCTTTCACAGCACCCCCCCAACTATTCTACTACATCGCTCTTTCAATCTCCAATGACCTCTATTAAACTTAATGGCAACAATTATGTTTTGTAGGTTTGTTCAACCGACGTTTTCTTTGAGGGAAAAGGCCTTATTACACATTTAGTGGGAGATAAATCAAAAGCAAGTGACTCAAGTTTTGCACAATGGGAACAAGAGGATGCCCAAATTATTTCCCATATGATACTAACGATTTAATAACTATCTTTGTAGCTCCAGAATGTTTTAGTTTATGCTCCTACCTATTATCTGGATATACTAAGATAGATTTACGATCTAATAAGGCTACTATGACATGTTGCTGAGAATATCACTCGTAGTTATGAGGTATGCAAACAATATTTTAGTCTTGAACGAGGTGCTTTGAGCATTGAAGAGTATTTCTCCGAGGTTGTGGGGACTTGTCGAGAGCTTAAGATGTGTCAACCCATTTTATCCGACATTTCTCGTGTATAGCAACAACGTGATGATCTTGATATTATTCGGTTCTTAGTTGGGTTGAAATCTGAGTATGAGCCTATCCGTGCACAAATTTTGGGAAGTCCTCAACTTCCCTCTTTCTTAAATGTATTTTCTAGACTTCAGTGAGCCGCACTATCAGACCATAGTTCTTCTCCCCATATTGAACATACTAGTGATCATTCTGTTTTAGTTGTCNAATGTTGCTGAGAATATCACTCGTAGTTATGAGGTATGCAAACAATATTTTAGTCTTGAACGAGGTGCTTTGAGCATCGAAGAGTATTTCTCCGAGATTGTGGGGACTTGTCGAGAGCTTAAGATGTGTCAACCCATTTTATCCGACATTTCTCGTGTATAGCAACAACGTGATGATCTTGATATTATTCGGTTCTTAGTTGGGTTGAAATCTGAGTATGAGCCTATCCGTGCACAAATTTTGGGAAGTCCTCAACTTCCCTCTTTCTTAAATGTATTTTCTAGACTTCAGTGAGCCGCACTATCAGACCATAGTTCTTCTCCCCATATTGAACATACTAGTGATCATTCTGTTTTAGTTGTCTGTTAGGGTAGCACTAATGGTTCTCCTGGAGATCATGGTACTAGAGGAGGTCGTGGCAATTCGGGTGGATCTTGTGGATCTCGTGAAGGTCATGGTGGTAAAGGATCTTGTAGGTGTACTCATTGTGGTTGTACTACTAGTGGGACTTTCGTGGTAAGCCACATATCTCAATTCATCAGGCTTCTTTTTAGGAAAATGTTCCCCCGTGGTGCCACCTACTGGATCCATTTAGCACCCTTCTATTAATCACATTACTATTTCTCGAGATAAGTATGCTCAATTCCTGTCTTAAAAACAAGCAATGTCTTCCTCCACTGCTACTTTGGCTCAATCAAGTACAACATCTGCTTGTTTATTTTCTTCCACCTCTAATCCNCGAGATAAGTATGCTCAATTCCTGTCTTAAAAACAAGCAATGTCTTCCTCCACTGTTACTTTGGCTCAATCAAGTACAACATCTGCTTGTTTATTTTCTTCCACCTCTAATCCATGGATTGTAGATTCTGGTGCTTCCAATCATATAACTAGTTCTTCTAGTCCTTTATCTAATTTTCGACTTATGGTCCCTTCTCGTGTCAACATGTTACACTTGCTAATGGATCATCATCTCAAGTCTCAAGTCTAAATACTATGCAACTTAGCCCCTCTCTCCTTATCTTCTGTTTTGTTTGTTCCTCAATTTTCATTTAGTTTAATATCTATTAGTAAGATCACTCACTTTCTTAACTGCTCAGTAACATTTCATCTTTCGAATTGTGTCTTTCAGGATCTCAAGTCCAAGAAGATGATTGGTAAAGGGCATAAATCAGGTGGCCTCTATTACCTAGGCCTCAAGCCTCCTCCTTCTAGAGCATTACAGACGTCAATGTGTCCCCCGCAGTGGCATTGCCATCTAGAAAATCCATCCCTTAAAGTTTTGAAGTCTCACATTCCTAGTCTTAGTTATGTGTCCTCGTTTGCTTTGTGAAGCTTGTCAATTTAGTAAGCATTATCGTCTGCCATTCGAATCTAGGATTGACAGTCGTATCTCTATACCTTTTGAATTAGTTCATTCTGATACATGGAACCCCCCACCTATTCTTTATTAATGAATTTTGTTATTTTGTTACCTTTGTGGATGATTGTTCGCGCATGACTTGGCTATTTTTAATGACATATCTCTCAAAACTATTTTCTATCTTTCAACTGTTTTGCAAGCAAATTAAGACTCAATTTGGCTGCAATATTCATATTTTATGATTTGATAATGAAAAAGAGTATACATCTAATCCCTTTCAAGCTTACTTCAATCAACGAGGCATTGTGCATCAGATTTTCTGTGCTTAAACGCCACAATAAATTAGTGTGGCAAAGCGCAAGAATCGTCATTTGTTGGATATAAACCAAGCACTGTTATTTCATATGCATGTTCCTAATCGTTTTTGGGGTGATGGCGTCTTGACTACCTATCATCTTATCAATCGTATGTCTACGGTCTTACAAGGAAACTCTCCTCATTCTATCTTGTTTCTTGACTCTTCTTTGTTTACTATTCCTCCAAAAATATTTGGATGTGTCTCTTATGTCCACAATCTTGACCTTGGTTTTGATAAGCATGACCCATGGGCTACAAAGTGTATCTTCACGGATTACTCCCGTACCTAAAAATGCTACCGTTGTTATAGTGCCATTTTTTGTAGGTATTTTGTTAGCAATGATGTTACCTTTTGGAAGTCTACTCCTTATTTTTCTACTCCCTCTATACCTTTTAAGGGTCTTCTTGAGTTGTCTTTGGTGTCTAACCCAATTCCACTTCCAGCTACATTTTTGTTGTCCTCTGTTCCTCCCGTGTCCACAACTCCGAGTCCACATACTCTCACACCTAGTATACATGGTTACACTCATCGGTCGAGGCCACCTACTCCAACTCCACCACCAGCATCCTCTTTGTCTTTGGATCCAACCTTCTCAGAAGTGTTTGATTCTCTACCCATTCCTCTCCGTAAAGGTACCCATTCCAATGCTGCTAACCACCTTATTACTCACTATGTTTCTTCTCATTTGATATCACCTTCACTATCTTGTTTTACTTCTCAATTATATAAAATATTTGTTCCTAAAACATTGGCAAATGCCAACTCGAATTCAAGTTGGAGAATAGCTATGGAGGACGAGATGAATGCTCTCCATCATAATCATAATTGAGATCTAGTTCTACTCCCTTCAAGTAAATAGGTTGTTGGATGTCGTTGGATATATACTGTCAAATTTCTTCCAGATGGATCTGTGGATCGTTTCAAAGCTCGTTTGGTTGCCAAAGGGTATACCCGTACCTATGGCATTAACTATGCAGAGACATTCTCTCTAGTTGCTAATGTCT